CACCCCCCCCCTCCCCCCGTTTCAAATTAAAAGCCCCCACAGAATGAATTTTAACTGGAATGCTTGTGATGAAGCCTCTCATTTTAGTGTCAAACATTATGATTCTGTCTCCTCTCCCCCTCTCTCACCCACCCAGTCCCACCCTTTCAAAATAAAAGCCCCACAAATACAAGATTCAATCCAAGAGTATGAATCTAAAATGCAGAAAAGAGAGTAGCGCTATCTCAATTGAACCTGAATGACACTACTGGTAACATTGGCGTGTGTATATATTGCAATTTCTTCGGGCAGTAGAAGCCACACTGTCAAAATTTCTTTAGGAATTTTCTAGTTTGAATTATAATTGATTTACTTTACAGCCAAATACAACATGCATCATACTGACAATAGACTGCAGACAGGGACTGCAGATAACTATAATCTTCATTAATGATGGATGTGCCAATATATACAATGTATGAAATGTCTTATTTTGTCTGACCAACTGTCCAAAATGTCGAACCAGTGCATTTATGACAGTTCTACTTAAAAACAACAAAGATTTAAACAATTAATTGATAAGAAGAATTTTTGTTTAGGGCTGCAACTTTAATTTGGGGTTACTTTCATTATCAATTAACCAGCAATTTATTTTCTCAATTAATTGTTTTTGCAGAAAATCGTCTTCTACCGTCACATTTGATCCAAAAGTCAACTCAAAAACTCAAAACATATTCAGTACATGATCATAGACGACAAAGAAAACCAGCAAATATTCACGTGTGAAGCTGAAACCAGTGACTTTTTAGCATTTCTGTTTAAAAATAACAATGAATTGATTATGAATTGTTGCTGATTAATGTGTGTAGACTGAGGATGAGAGGAAGTTGATTTTGAAGATAATTTCTGGTTCATATCAGCACACCATGGAGCCTGCATTTAATAGTTTCAGTTGCAAAAAGTATTGCCTGCAATGTTGCATTTTGCATTTTAGGTCTCACTATCTCGACTTCAGAGGGTTTCTTTCTCGGCCTGTGATCAGAGAAGCAGCTTTTTCTAGAACGACACTGTCGTTCTCAGAATCCAGTCTTTAAGTAACATTAACAATACTGCAATATATTAAAAGAAGAAAATTAACCCTGTGGATGTTACGCTGTTACATATTATATCATGTGATTATTGTTCAATGTGTAAGCTGTATTTTACTGTATTTTACTGTAATAGTTGGCCACGGTGGCGCTAGTTTTAACGTTATATAAATGTTATTGCACATGTTCTGTAAGATCATTGTGGGATTTTAACGTCAAATCTGAATATATCTGAAAAACGATTAACACTGATTTTTGTAGAGCTGCAATGATTCTTTTAAGTATCTGTTAATGTGCTGATGATGTTATATTATCATTTAATCTATGAAATGTCAAACTAATGTGAAAGAATTAACTTTTTGTAAGGTCGAAAGACATGTCTGTGGCAAAGTTTAACAGCCACTTTTCAAACTATTTTCTGACATATTAAAGACCGAACGGAGAAAATACACCAAAAATTAAACGTATTATTCTGAACTAATGAGATTGTGATTGACTATCAGTTATGATGATCTCCTCTAACCCTCCGTGTTACACCAAAACCACTTCCCCAAAAAGAGGGGAGTAAAAACATGCAGCTGAAGAGCAAACACTCCAAATCAAACAGTAGGATCCAGAACATGAGCAAAGGCCTTTGGTCATAAATAAACATGTAATACATAAATATGTTAGAAGAAGAATTCAGCCCGCTGTGGGTGCCCATATAATACATTTTAATTTAAGCCAGATTCTGTTTATTACAGCGTTGACTGTTGCAGATACAGCAGAGATTTCTGCAAGTGTTTCATTCAGTAAAGAAAAAAAAGGACATATATTGTAACATAATACTGTCTAAATGTTGACATAGTTAACGTTGTAAGCGATAGAGAAGTGAGA